CGTGATAACAAAATGATAAGACAAAAGCACCAAAAACAGAGACAAACGCCACAAAGAGGATGAGTGAAACAGAAGGATATATTTAACACATCATCATCTTTTGTGGAGACTGTGGGAAAATAAGCTATTTGCTATTTCTTTGACTCATTATGAACTAAAATCTAGTTGTACAAAGTGTTGAAACCCTTTAACAGCAGCAAAAGTTACACTATTCTAACTCTTGAAATGGCTAAATGCTGAACTTCACATATGTTTTCAGGGTGCAAACTTTTAAATCACCGATGGGGGCTTCTGCCTGCATCTGTAGCAAAAACATCGACTGGTTTTCCTCCTGCAGCCCGTCACAAAGAACTGATCTGAGCCAAGCTGTGCCGCCGCAGACTTGGAGCGCTCCGAGCACAGATGTTAGGCACAACACTGAGGGAGACAGTCTGGACACTTGTTACTCAATTATTTAAGATGACACATCACCCCCCGATGGAAGATGAATAAGCTCTCAGTGATCGACCCCAGAATCATCCTTTATCTGCTGTGTCCACCAGCTGGAGTTCACCGCATGCACTGACACACACACACACGCACGCACGCACGCAGACATGCACACTGCACACAGGTGGGCATGCTGGCACACACAATGCAGCGGGCAAACTGGGCGTGGGGGCTCTCGGCGCTGTCTGAACACTGCAAACTGCACGTGTTTTATGCCATATTAATATTCTACGACTTCTCAGCCAATGCAGCGAACATCAATGCAGAGACATTGCTTGATTACAAATGACTCCACAATTACAAAAGCCCACCAGACTTATTCAGCAACACTCAGTCCAGCCCGGCTGTTATGTTACGCGTCTACATCCGAGTCCATGAGGAAATACTGAGCTGGCTATGAAGTTGCTTCATCTAGGGTCACGGTCGGGACCGTTTTAGACTCTCTGAGGAATGATGACATGCTTGCATGCTGTTTTAGGATGATCATTTCACAGGCGATGTCATATTCTCCAAGATTTTGTGCCCACAGACCAATGTTAGAAAGTGAAGGGAATTGTAAATTGTTGTGTATTTTCTGTGCACTGTTTCTCCATACCTTTAAAGCGCAGGGCATTGGCCAGTATCAGAGCTCCAGCCTTGGGCTTTACTTCAGCCGCTAAAGGAGCTCCCTCCAGCCCACCGAGCCCAGCCTTCACCCAGCCATGGAGCTGCTTCAGGTCAGCCTTGGAGTCTCCTTTACCCAGCGGCCGATGCTGCAGCCTGAACGTGGCCTGGCTCTCCTTCACAAACTTCTGGCTGACCGGAGGAGCTTGCTTGGAGAACAGGGCCGAGGACGCATGCAGGCGAAAGCTGGTACCGTTGGCCGCGGTGAAGCTCTTCAACGCCCCGGACAGGAGCTTGGCAGCACCGGCTCCGCCCTTGGCCGAGGCCGGGGTCCTGAGGAGGCCTTGGAGCTGGCTGGAGGTGGTGCCCGCGGAGCCGCCGCCCAGCGCTCCAAGTGAGGAGGCCAGAAGCAGAGGGGAGAAGAGAGTGTTCACGGAGCTCGGGTCGGAGCGAAGGGCCCGGTACAGGTGCAGGCCGAGGGCCCAGCTGGGGTCACCAGGAGGAGGAGGGGGCGGGCGGGGTGGAGAGCTCTTCTTGGATGACTCAGCAGTGCAGCCCTGCACCAGAAGGACTAGCACTGAAATTAGGATGTAGACAGGAAGCCTGGGCAGCATGGTAGATCTGGAGGAAAGCACAGGGACGGGAAGTCAGTCAAATAAACTGTGCGTCTGACAATGAGAAGAATGAGGCATGCATTCCTCTCATCTATAATACAAACACAGCTCTATTCATACTAGACTGATTTTAAACAGCGTAATAGCTCATGCTGTTATTGCACTGTTCATATTTGAGATACAGCAATAGAAACGCTCCCTCTTTGCTGTAAAACTACAACTACTTGTGCAAACAGCAGCCCTGCTCATACAGCGCCACAGCAGTAAACCTGATTTTGTAAATTCCTCCCCACTTGGCAACATTGTCTCACCCGCTGCGGGAAAACCAGTGCGACAATTACCACTGATACAGTTTCAAAATAAGCTTTTTTTTTGGGGGGGGGGGGGGGGGGGGGGGGGTGGTGTTTTATTTTTTCTCCCTTTCACACCA